GGACACATGCCCAGGTTGTGGGTCTGATCCCCAGTGGGAGACACACAGGAGGCAGCCAATGGATGTACTTTCTCATCAATGTTTCTATTTCTCTCTCCCTCTCACTTCCTGTCTCTCTCTAAAATCAGTAAGAGAAAAAAAAAGAAAATACTATGAACATAGACTAGAAGATAAAATATTGTGAAGACATCAATTCTATCCAAACTTATCTATAGATTCACTGTAATCCCAATCAATATCCCAGCAGATTTTTCTGTGACATCTGACATGCTGTCAAGTTTATATGGAAATATAAAGAATAAAGGAAATCTTGAAGAACAGCAAAATGGATAAACTTATTCTACTAGATATCAAGAGTATTATATAAAGTTATACCAATTAAGACAAATATAATAATGAAATTAAAGAGAGCCCAGAAACCTACAAATATATGATCAATTGATTTATGGCTAAGGTGACAATGCAATTTAATGGGGAGTAATGTCTTTTTTGCAAATGGTGTGGCCAATGAATAAATACCTTATGGAAAAATACAAATCTTGATCTCTATCTCATACTGTATTCAAAAATTAATTCCAGAAGAACTATAGAGATTTAAACATGAAAAAACAGTAACAGTTTCCAGAAGAACATTTAGGAGAATATATTACCTTGGGGGAGGCAAATATTTCTTAAATAGGATACAAAAAGCACTAATCATAAGTATGTTGGGGGGGGGGGCTTATAAATTAAATTACATTAAACTTAAGAATGATGGAAAGATATTCTTAAGAGTGAAAAAATAAGATATGCCCTGGCCAGTTTGGCTCAGCGGTTGGAGCGTCAGCCTATGGTCCAGAGAGACCCGGGTTCGGTTCCCGCTAAGGGCATGTACCTCGGTTGCAGTTTGTCCCCAGCCCTAGTTGAATCGTGCGGGTGGCAGCCACGGGATGTGTCCCTTTCACATCGATGTTTCTCTCGCTCTCCCGTTCTCTCTCTCTCCCCTCCCTCCCTCCCACTCTATCTGAACAAAAAATGGAAAAATGTCCTCGGGTGAGGATTAAAAAAAAAAAAAGAAAGAAAAAAGAAGCTACTAAGTGAAAAGCAATTATCTGCAATACACATAGCTGACACAATTCTTATCCATAATATATAAAGAACTTCAACAAATCAATCAGAAAAAAAGAGCCAATCGGAGAGCAGGCAAAAGAGTAGACCAGGTACTTTTACAAAAGAGAAAATGCAACTGAACTATCATTACATAAAAAGGTGACTGATCTCCTTAGTCCTCAGGGAAATGCAATTAAATCCACAATGAGATACTATCACACAGCCACCAGAATAGCTAAAATAAAAAAGACAGACACTGTTAAGTGTAACCAAGGATGTGGAACACTGCTGGTAGAAATGTTAATTAGAACCTGCAGTATCTGGTAAAGCTGAACATCTGCATACTTTTTGATCCTGAAATTCCTATCTTACATATATACCCAACAGAAACAAATATGTATGCTCACCAAAACACATGTACAAAAATATTCATAGCTGTTACAACTATAACAACCCCAAACTGGAAAGAACTCAAATATATCCACCCATAGTAAATAAGGATAAATAAACTACGGTATATTCATTCAACAGCATACCATACAGCAATGAGGGAGAAAAAAAAACTACTGTTACACACAAGACGAATGAATTCACAAACAATGCTGAAGGTAAGAAGTCACACATGACAAAGTATATTATATAAAAGTTCAAAGCAGGCAAAATTTATCTGTGGCAAAGTCAGGAGAGTGGTAACCTGGGTGTTTGTGTATGTGGTGGTGGTGGGTGGGCAGAAAGGTGATAAAGAGGGGTTGAGGAGGGCTCTGGATTCTACTTTATTTATTTATTTATTTATTTATTTATTTATTTATTTATTATCCTCACCCGAGGACATTTTTCCGGTTTTTTTGTTCAGGTAGAGTGGGAGGGAGAGAGAGGAACAGAGAGAGAGAGAGAAACATCGATGCGAAAGGAACACATCGAGTGGCTGCCACCCGCACAACCGACCAGGGCCGGGGACAAACCGCAACCGAGGTACATGCCCCTAGCGGGAACCGAACCCGGGTCTCTCAGGACCGCAGGCCGACGCTCTAACCGCTGAGCCAAACTGGCCAGGGCTGGATTCTACTTTATTTAATTCATTTTGTATTACAGATGTCCCTCCCTTTCCCCCCAATAACACCTTCCTCCCTGCTCCCACTCCACCAATAACATTCTACTTTTAAAAATCAAAGATGTGTTCACTTTATAAAGACTCATCAAGCTATAAATTTATAATGTGTGCATTCTGTGTACATATTATATATCAATAAAAAGGTTATTTTGCCCTGGCCAGTTTGGCTCAGCAGTTAGAGTGTCGACCAGCAGACCAATGAGTTGCGGGTTCAATTCCAGTCAAGGGTATCTACCTCAGTTGCTGTTTGTCCCCAGCCCTGGTCAGGTCGTGCGGGAGGCAATCAGTCAATGTGGCTCTATCACATCGATGTTTCTGTTTGTCTGTCTCTCTCCCTCCCTCCTACTCTATCTGATGATAAATGGAAAAATATCCTCAGGTGAGGAATAAAATAAAATTAAATAAAAAGGTTATTTTAAAATATCAGTTTTAAAGAACTTTGAATTTTATTTTTTTTAATTTTTAAATGAAAAACAGCCCAGCGCTGGCTGGTCTGGCTCCACATTAGAGCATCAGCCCACAGACCAAAGAGTCGTGGGGTTTGATTCTGGTCAAGGGCACCACAGCTAGGTGGCGGTTTGGTCCCCAACCCTGGTCAGGTCATGTGGGAGGCAACCAATCAATGTGTCTCATGTCCATGTTTGTTTCTCTCTCTTTCTCTTTCCCCGACTCTATCCCAAGATAAAAATGGAAAAAAGTATCCTAGGGTAAGTCTAAAACTACAGAGGTAAAAGCAGTCCTTGTATCTAACAGATCACATAGATATAGGCCAGAGCCACACCTGGTAATGAAAAAGATATATCTACCTAGAGTTTCCTCTGTGCCATAAGTATTAGCCACGTACCCTGAATAGGTGATGGCAACAGAGTAGGCTGCTCTTTGAAGGACTTGAGACCCACAACCTAGCCACATACAAACTGGCACAATTAATGAGTCTCACCAAGTTTCTTCATATGATAACAAAACAAGTATTTTAAGCTCTACTTACTAAACAGTTAATATGACAATTCTTATCATTTAATAAAAAATTAATTCCTAACCTTAAAAGAAAATTTGAAAAGCAAATGTAAGAATTATGACATTTAAAAGATGACCAAAATAAACTTGCATAGTACAACAGTGATAAAGCTTGTAATATAGTGGAAACAAATGGAATTGGAAGTCAAGAGGCCTAGTGTAACCTGATAAAACCCTAGCAGAAATAATAAAATGAAAAACAAATGAATGATCAAGTACCAATGGACTTTGGACAAGTTATTTCTTTTCACTGTATCTGCCTCCTATTGCTAAAATTAGATTGCAATCAAGTTTGAATAAGTAATTACATATAAAAGTGCTACAGCAGTCCTTGACAGAGTACTAAATAAATAGTAGACGCTATTACTAGATGCCAGTCTGGTTTTACTAATAAACTCAGGTATAATTTCAAACAAGTTACTAGTTATTCTGGAATTCTATAAAATAATATGGCTCTAAAAAATATATTTAAATTCTGATTTTCAAACATATTTTATTAGTGAATAATTCCCATACACATATATTAAAACTTTAAATACTACCATATTTCCAGACTACAGTATGTTACAGAACATATACCAAACATACTATGGGGGTGGTATGTGTGGAAGTGATTGGACATCTAGAGTATCACCTAAGGTGGAAACTATAACTTGAACACATATTAAAAATATATATACTCAGAATTAGGAAGAGTCCTGGATGAAGATTAAGAAGATTTTGATCTATTTCCTGGAACTGCTGCCAACCTTAAAACAGTAAGTTATGCCTATCTATGTTTCTTTGCTTAATAAGTTAAGAAAGGTTGGGACAGATGATCACTGAGATCCCTTTGAGACTTTCTTTTTTCCTCCTTCCAAAGTAGAATGATGTCAGTTATTACTTAGAAAACAAGACATTTTAACACCAATAAATGTGAAAAATGGCTGATTTCCCGGCCTAAGCTGTCCCTGATCTGAGAGGGAGAGAAAACAGCACTGGCCTTTTATTTTTATTTATTTAAATCCTCAGCCGAGGATATTTTTCCATTTATTTTTAAACAGTGTGGGAGAGAGGGAGAGAAATACTGATATGAGAGAGACACACTGACTATTTGCCTCCTGAAACCAAGGTATGCACCCTTGATGACTCTTTGGTCCCAGGGCTGACACTCCAAACGCTGAGCCAAACCAGCAGGGTAGTACCAGCCTTTTAAATGGGCCCACATTCACTTTCCAAAGCTAGCAAGCTCAATTCTGACTGTGCTTTCTAAAAGAATATATATATTCGCCTTAGAGAAGGGTAGGAAATGGAAATTACCTCAATATATGCACTGATATGCAAATTTTCTCATATAATCACACAACTGATGATCCCCTTGTTCCACAATATTTTTAATAGTCAAAATTTATTCAGCATCTACTATGTGGTGGATCCAATGCTAAGTACTTTTAAGGCATTTCACATAAACCAAGAAGATAATTTTAGGTGATTGTCAGGTAAAAAAAACTGTTGTAAGGACTGGATGAATTAATTTCATTTCCAAGGTAAATCCTTGTAAAAGAAAACAACAGAATCTTAATTGTTTCATAAATGACCTTTAAGAAAAAAACACGAGTAGAAACCAATTTAAATTCTAATGTTCACATCAAGAATATAATTTATTCTTAATATTCCCAAGAGGTTTCATTTCATTGTAGTCTTACTTCAAACCTAAGCAAAATGAGAAACAAAGAACAGAAACTTGTCTAAAACATATAATTAAAAGTTCCTTTTAAAAAAAAACAAAAAGAAAACCTCTTACCTGAGCATGAAAATTGGACATAGTTGTTGTCTCTATATCTTTCTTTCCCAAAATCTCCATTTTCACTGGCGAATTGGGAAAATTGAATGAAAAGTAGTCTAAAAAGTCAGGTAAATAAGCAGCTGCCCCATGAACAATACCCATTACATAGAAAGCTGCAGAGTTCTCATTTTCACTGAATACTAGACCCACAAACTCTTCTGCAAACCTCTCCATCTCCACAGGAGACAGGTGGGTGAGTTCATTACTGTAGGCATGGATAACTGATGCGCCTCCATTAGGCTGGTGCTCAATATGAATGAGCTGTTTGAACTCCAAAGTGTCCAGCCTTTTGAGATTCTGAACCCGTGGCTCCTTTAATGAGACAAATGGAAATTCACTGTTCTCTGGAATTTTGGAATCACAGTTCTTGGTATCCAAATTCTTTCTACTGTAATCCTTTATGTTATCATTTAGGATGCCTTTGGCTTCTTGATCTTCAACATCAGATAGCAATCCTGAGCAGATGGTTTGAATAGATTTGCTATACATTTTTGGACGCTTCCGTTTTTCATTCTCTTTGTGTTTCTTTTTCTTTTTCTTCTTTACCTTTTTAATTTGTAAGTCTTCTACATTTGTTTTTGGTTTCTCCTTCCCACCTGTTGGGAAAAAAAAATTTTTGAAACCCCATATTTTAGTTACTTAAAAAACCATGTTTTAGGAAATGTTTTATAATAAATAAACAAAGTTTACTCAAAATTAAGTTTATATTTGGGACTTGTTTTACACAGTATTGATACTCATAATTTAGTCAATCTCTTTGCTTCTCTCTACACACACACACATGAAGGCTTAAGACAAATTAACATCTTTCTGACATAGCAGATGCTAAATCAGTGTTTACTGAAGTAATAAAATGAATGAATGTTTTAGAAAGCATAATCTTCAAATTTTAAATGTAGAAAATCATAAATGAAAAGTTAAACAAAGGTCAATATGAACAATGCCCTCCAGATATTTCCCAATGATATATATATGATTTTATCATATATACTTTATCTAAGTTCTTAAAAATTGCACATAGGTATCAAGATTTATAAATCATAAAAGAAGAAAAATACTTGCTTAGTACACAAGCAACAAGCACAGCAATTCCTTAGCTTTTCACCGTATTTCCTTCTTAGACAACTACTCTTGCATCTAAAATGGGCTGTTTTAGGTCGACTAGAATTTTCAAAGTTCCCAATGAAGACCCTACAAGATACCATAAAGGAGATGACAAAACTAGAAGAATTTCTCATGTCTTAAGCACAAATGATACCTGTGTGCCAATAAAGAGATGAATTAAAAAGTTAAAAAAAAAAATAGGGTACTATAAGCTTATATATTAATGAACTTCTGTAACCAAAGGCAAGTAATTACACTCTGGGCTCAGAAATTTAGAACTCCAAAGAATAAAAAATTAATGTACAGACACTTTACAACTTTGGAATCTAAGTGTACATACAAACACTTAACATTATCATAATATATTTATTTCTACACAATATGAAAAAGAGGAAAAAAGTAAACATTCTCATAAAACATTATGCTTCCTAAAATATGATGAAAATGTCATTAAGCTGTTAAATTGAGAAAAGAAGGTATTCATTTTTCGCTTGCTTTTTTTTTTTAATCCTCAGCCCGAAGACATTTTTTTTGCATTTATCTTCAGATAGAGCATGAGAGAGAGAGGGAGGAAGAAAGAGAGAAACATCGATGTGAGAGAGACACATCGAGTGGTTGCCACCCACATGACTCCAACCAGGGCCAGGGACAAGCTGCAACTGGAAGTACATGCCCCTAGCGGAAACTGAACCCGGGCCTCTCTGGTCCAGGGGACAACGCTCTAACCACTGAGCCAAACTGGCCAGGGCTCACTTGCTATTTCACTTTTATAGATAACCTGCGTGGATTTAATCTTTCCAACCAACTTCTGTTGCTGTTGTTAATCCTCACCCAAGGTTATTTTTCCACTGATTTTCAGACAGAGTGGGAGGGAGGAAGAGAGAGAACCATCGACGTGAGAGACACATCAACTGGTTGCCTCCCGACAGACCCCAACCATGGCTGGAGATTGAACCTGCAACCAAGGTACATGCCCTTGACCGGAAATCGAACCCGTGAGATTTTCGCAGGCCAATGCTCTAACCACTGAGCCAAACTGGCCAGGGCCCAACAAACGTCCTTACTTAATGTTTCCATCTCCATGTATCTCTTTTATTCCATTCTGTCTCGACTTTTTTTTTTTTTATCCTCACCCGAGGACATTTTTTGTTCAGGTAGAGTGGGAGGGAGAGAGAGGAAGAGAGAGAGAGAGAGAGAAACATCGACGTGAAGGGACACATCGAGTGGCTGCCACCCGCACGACTGACCAGGGCAGGGGACAAACTGCAACCGAGGTATGCGCCCTTAGCGGGAACTGAACCCGGGTCTCTCGGGACCGCAGGCTGATGCTCTAACCGCTGAGCCAAACCGGCCAGGGCATATTCCATTCTGTCTCTAGCAAGTAAGACATCCTGTTTACTTTCCAAAAATAGTCCCTCCTACCAGCTCCAAAAACTTTTGCTTAGTAGTTCTCTCTTCTCTTCTTTTACCATCAAACTTCTTGTGAAGAATAATCTATCCCTTAAATTATGGGTCTGCTTTCAGTCTACTCAAATTTTCCTTCCTAGAATATTCAAATATCAATGATATTCTCCCAAATATTCTTCCTGATCTCTCCAAGGTTTGAAAGAATTATCCAGCTCATCTTTGATTATTTTTTACTTCCTTGATACTTTGACTGCCTTAATTTTTGGTCTAACTGCCTCATAAGTATCTTTCATCCTGAGTGCTGGAGCCATATTAATCTTTTACGTTATATATATATATATATATATATATATATATATATATATATATATATATATATATATCATATTCATCCATTGATTTAACTGTTTTCAAGGGCCCTCAATGCTTACCAAAAAAAAATATAACCTCTCCAGTCTGGAAGACAATGCCCTCAAGTACCTCTTGCTCTGGTGAATCTGCACTACTTACAATTTCTTAAAAGACATACCTAATTCTGTCTTATGTTTCTACTACTGACAAAGGCATTTATTTCCTCTCCCTAAAATACACTTGCCCTGCCCAATACTTACCACTGAACTCTTTCTTACTCATCCTTTAAAAACTCTGTCATTTCCTTCATTTTGCTTTCCTTCACCTCTCCAATTGGAACTGAAATTTATATAAAGTTATTCTATATTCCACAGATATGAGTATTTGTGGTATAGCCATATAAAGTTATTTTTTTCACTCAGGATACCTGCATATGTCCTTTACAACATTCTATGAGTGAAACAAATAACTTCTATATAAATTCAGAGTGAAATGATACTTTACTCCCCATCATGTGTCCTTTATGGTATCTAGAATACTGCTAAAATGAACATTTAATGAATCTATGAATGAAAAGATTTCTCTTACCAAGAAACTACCTGAGGTTTACAGGTTTTTCCCTTGTCTACTTTTTAGTCAAAGTTTTCCACCATATGAATACCACTTAATCTTAACCCTGAAAACAAAACCCACAAAAGTTCTCTCAAGTTGATAGCAATTCTAAACAGGCAAAGTTTAATGTTAATAATGAACTATCACTTCTAAAAATTCATGTAAGTATACAATGAAGACAAAATTGGTATCATCATGAAAAGCAAAAGTAAAAATCTCTCAACATTATTATCACATAGGTTTGTCAAGTCATAAAATGCAAAGTCTTGATTCTCTAATAAATCTGTATGCAACTACTTAAGAAATATATTAACAAATTCATACTTGCTTCTTTGGCATAAACTATCTAACATCAGATTCAGGTTAATATCCTTAGAACAAAATTAATAATTAAAAAAAGGAAAACGAAGTTAATCAAAATGAAAGATAAAAGAGGTTCATATATGTAAGTCAAATCCAAATGAGTCAAGGAAAAAAGACAGTAGTCAATTAAAAAACAGAACTTAAGTCTGGCCAGTGTGGCTCAGTGGCTGAGTGTTGACCCATGCACCAAGAGGTCACCAGTTCAATTCCAGGTCAGGGCACAAGCCCAGGTTGTGGCCCAATCCCCAATAGAGGGCATGCAGGAGATGGCCAATCAATGTTCTCTCTCATCAATGTTTCTATCTCTCTCTCCCTCTCCCTTTCTCTCTCTCTAAAAATCAATAATGAGGGAAAAAAAAAAAACAGAACTTAAAAATGTTTAAAGTACTGATATAATTAATAACTAAACTGAAAATATATGTAAAATTGCACAAATTAAATGGTCTGCCAAAATGAACAGAATTTCATTTGAATGAAAATATAAGTTTAATATGCTATTACATATATGCCTAACATATTTTTTAAAAGTTAAAATAGAAAATATCCAATCATTAGACTAAATGTTACTTTGAAATAAAATAGGTACAACAGTATATTTCATAGTCATGAGGATGAATGAAAAAGGTAGTATAATAGTCAGAAACTGAAAAATGCAAACCAATAAGATATCAGTCAAGAGAGTCTTATACTGAACATCAAGGAATTAAATTCCCATTACAAACTATTCTGTAATTAAATATTCAAGTGAGCACAGTGTGCAGAAGAGTTAATATAACATGCCTGAGACTGTTATCCTGAGAAAATCCTCCTTACAAGGTTGGCCATTAGCTGGAATCTGAGAACTTGAATTTTGGGAATGTGCCCATCATTCCCCAATAAGAGTGGTTCATTGTGCCTACACTGTTTGTGCAAACAATATGGTTTATTCTGAACACCTGTTACCCTTCTGGGAGTCTGGAATTTTGATACATACTATAGAGAGGGTGACTATGTGACCAGCTCCCATCTGAAATCCTAAGCATTTAATCTCTAATGAACTTCCCTGGTAGACATTTCACATGTGTTGTCACAATTCACCACTAGAATAATTAAGTGCATCCTATGTGACTCCACTAAGAGAAGAATCTTGGAAGCCTATACCTGGTTTCCACCAGACATTGCCTCATGTACCTTTTCTCTTTACTAATTTTACTTTGCACCTTCCACTAAAATAAATCATAGCCATGAATCAACTATATGCTGAGTCCTATGAGTCCTAGCAAATCATCAAACTGGGGACACCCCACCAATGGCCCTGGCCGGTTTGGCTCAGCGGTTAGAGCGTCGGCCTGCGGTTCAGAGAGACCGGGGTTCGGTTCCCGCTAAGGGCATGTACCTCGGTTGCAGTTTGTCCCTGGCCCTGGTTGGTCATGCGGGTGGCGACCACTCGATGTGTCCCTTTCCCGTCGATGTTTGTTTCTCTTTCTCTCTCTCTCTCTCTCTCTATCTGAACAAAATATGGAAAAATGTCCTCGGATGAAAATTAAAAAAAAGACACCCCACCAATGAACACAGGTAAAATGCATTCTTTACACTTCAACTAACTAGAGGCACCAGTATTCACAAGATAAAATTAAAAAGGTTTATATAGTCTCTCATTCATTTCCTGTCTTGAAATGACATACAAAATGCAGTAAATGTATATGAAGGAAATTTTTAAATACTTTAAAATAAGACCATTTCGAATATCAATGTTCTTCTCTTATAATAAAAGATATTTCAAGTACACATTGCTCCTGATCTATAATTCTTCAAACAATGCCCAATACATTAGACCTGTTTGTTTTTTAAAGAATTCTGGTAAGTATCCATAACAGAAATAGAATTACTGTCTACTAACTTGGACACTCAAAAAGTATAAAAGTAAAAGGTTGATGGAGGTCCCTCCTCCCACAGATTCAAGACGCATGCACACAGTGGATCACAGAGACGCATACACAGAGCACCATGAACACACACATACACAGAGAGCCAGAGAGAGAATCAGACACAGAGAGAAATGCAGACACATAGATAACCAGAAAGAAAGAGACACAGAGAGAGAGAAAAATACCACACACAGAAAGATACAAACAGCATGCACTGTTAATGGCTAATTTTATATATATATGTATACCTATGTGTGTGTGAGAGTGTGTGTGTGTATATATACACATATATAAACAAACTTTAAAAACACAAATTAACTGGTATTAATTTCCGCCACAAAACTTAGTATACTTTAGTGTTAATTTAAAAAAACATAAAGGTTGCCCAGAAAAATTAGATCTGATTTCATATCTAATATAGGAATCAATATATATAACTCTATTATCATACATAAGGAAAAAGTAGTAATTAGCTCAACCTTTGGTCTTTGGAGAATGACTGCTTTATTCACACCGTAATATTTTCACTCTTCCTGCCATGAATTACCTACCTGTGACCTTTGGTACACTACCAATAACTTTTAGGCATTGGCTTCTTTAACGCCCCTATTCCACCTGCTACCAGCAAGCTTCTTTGATATGCTATAATGATAAAATATAATATAATCAGTCCGGCCTGTGTGGCTCAGTGGACTGAGCATCGTCCCATGGACTGAGAGGTCCCAGATTGATTCCCAGTCAGGGTACAGGCCCATGTTGCAGGCTCACTCGATGCCCAGCATGGGGCGTGCAGGAGGCAGCCAACTGATGTTTCCCTGTCATCAATGTTTCTCTCTCTCTCTTCAAAAATATTATATTTAAAAGAAAAATATATTTATAGCCCTGGCTGGTTTTGCTCAGTGGTTAGAGCATCAGCTCTTGGACCAATGAGTCGCGGGTTCGGTTCCAGTCAAGGGCGTGTACCTTGGTTGCGGTTCGTCCCTGGCCTTGGTTGAGGTCATGCAGGAAGCAACCAGTCAATGTGTCTCTCTCACATCGATGTTTGTTTGTTTGTTTGTTTGTTTGTTTGTTTGTTTCTTTCTTTCTTTCTTTCTCTCCCTCTCTCTCTCTCTCTCCCCCCCCCTCCCTCCCACTCTCTCTAAACAAAAATGAAAATAATATCCTCGGGTGAGAATTTAAAAAAAGCCCAGCTGGTGTGGCTCAGTGGTTGAGCTTCGACCCATGCACCATGAAGTCCCCAGTTCAATTCCTGGTCACGGCACATGCCCAGGTTGTGGGCTAAATCCCCAGTGGGGGGCATGCAGGAGGCGGCCAATTGATGTTTTTATCTCTCTCTCTATAAAATCAATAAAAAAAAAAAAAAATTATACATATATATATACACACACACATATATAACATCTATGTTCTTACAACTTATCAATAAACCAAAAATGGCCAGAACACATAAGTATACTCAGAAAAAGTAGTTGGTAAACATTGGATATAAAAAGATGAGCAAAATAAGCTTATGATTCAAATCTATTTGTTCCTTTAACTTATTTTAATAAAGTTTTCACCATTTATAAGATTTCTGCATTAATAAAAACTTTTTAGCATATACATAACTGTGTATATATCTCCAGTTATATACAACTTATTGCAGCTTTTAATGAAAACCTGGAGGAAAAGAGATTATTGTAAGAGTTAGCATTGACTTTAGATGTTCAAGTGCAACAATAATCAATGTCTATGTGTGTCACAGCTTGCAATATTGGCATTATCAGAAGGAGAAGTTTATAAGGAGAAAATAAAAGTGGAAGCCCATAAAGGGAAAAAGGACACACAGTTATACATAACAGTATACTGCCCCCACTAAATTGGCTCTGCTGTCGCTCTAGGACACCAATAACAAGGAAGCCTTTCCCTGATGGACCCTCATTTGGGAAATGGCCACAAAGTCAGAGCAAATTGTTTTTGTTAGATTATAACAATAACTAACACTTGGTGCTTACAACAGAACAAGCAGTTTCTCAAAATGAATCATGTTTTTATTCATTTAACTATCTATATACTAGCCATTAAAGAGAGTTTTGTTTTTTTAATCACAAGAATTAATCTTTCATACAGTTTACACGAAAGATTCTCATCCACTTATTAAATATCTGTGAGCCAGACACTGTAGTTGGCACTTCCCCATACCTTATTTCATTTAATCTCCACAACCATGTAAAGCAATAATTATAGTATTATTTACTTACACTTTACAGTAAATACATTTTCCCATTGTCATCGCAAAGGTCACCAATTCATTTCCAAATGTACCTCATTCTTCTTTCCCTTATCACCACTAGGTTTCAACTTAACTCAGTTCAAAAGAGCTCTGAAATTTTCATCTACTTTCAATTTAAGGTTACTACCTCGTTATTTTTTTTAAAACTCCATATTTTAAGATTATTTAAAATTTTGTTTGAATACGTAACCTCTAGATTCACATATTTCACATTAATGGCATGTTAAGAATCTAATGTTTAACCAAGTGGCAGGAATTTACATCGTTGTACATTTAAATGGATAAGATAATGACTACTGTTTGACTAAACCAATAGGGTATAGTTAAGTGCAGTCGGCCCTCGTTTATTGCAGTTAATAAGTTCCAGAGTCTACTGCGATAAATGAATTTCCGCGAAGTAGGAGTCTTTATATTATAGTCGTCCCTTGCCTCTTTGCGCTTCAACTTTTGCAGCTTCACTCTATCGCATTTTTTTTTCAAAATATAATATAGTATTTGAAAAAACCACAATAGAGTGAAGCTGCGAAAGTCAAAGCGCAAAGTGGCGAGGGAGAACTGTAAATATTTAAAGCATTGATCATTAGCTGCTGTACAGCACCGGTGTGGTTAGGTTTGCTTCCTGCCTCAAAGGCTTACATTCTAATTTGACAATACAGATAAAACACACTGGCAAAAGAGACAGAACAAGTAGCCATCAACTTAACCTCTGACATGTTTCTCCAAGATCAACATAATTTTACAGAAAAGAAAGTTCTTACAAATAAAAAACAAAGCTTAAAAAAAATGCCATCAAAGAACATCTGGAAACATGACAAAGAATGAAATGAAAATACAGAATCTAATACTCTGTTTATCTGAATTAATATAAATTAACCAGTTATTTTGTTGCACATGCAGTGTTATGGTCTTTTCTCCTTTATGTAGATCTAAAAGCTTATCAACACATAAATTCAATATAAAATTAATCAAGTCAACATGTTTTGCTCTGCAAATTGTCAACTTGATAGGGCAGCTAATGAATTTGTTAGCTGTCTAGCAACCAAATGCCACTGATTCTTTTTTCTTACCTTGCTGAGTGGATTTAAGACTGACCTTACTTCTATTCTACCATAAATTCTCTCTGAAATGGTTCAGATTCACTGATAGCATTTGTATTATTACCCAACCACCCACTGCCCCACATAAACAGCAACTAAAGACAACTGTAACAAAGAAAAAAATAGGAAAGAAAATATTCTTAAGCATGTAAGAAACATACAGTAAAACAGTACACCTTCTAATTTAGCTCAGAGTAAAATGTTCCCTCCAAATACCAGACTATGATATGCTTACCACAAAATAATTTCACTTCTTCCACCATCCCCAGCAAACTTAAAATACCTTTAGCCTTTTAGATTATCCAAGTATGAATGAAGACTGGCAATGCAAACACAAAATCAGATAACCTATTTTTAAATAATTTAATGAACTAACAGTTTAATGACGCTTATCCATTACTACTTTTTAATGACTCACTAAATAAATATACTAAAGACATATTACTACACAAATTAAAACTCCCCATTACATTTTATTTTCATATTCTAATCATTGTTTATTCTCAAAAAAATTCAGTACCAAATAACATCTTATTTTAATCACTAAGCCAATAAGTACAATGAACAATATAATACAGTACAACTAAAATCACTCAATACTGTATAAACTTACTTTTCAGTAACATCTTTACTTCTCCATTTTCTTTCTTGATCTCATTCATTGTTTTATGCTTCTTTTTCTCTCTCTCTTTTTCCTTATCTCTCTCTTTAATTTTGTCTTTGAGTTTATCTAAAAAGCAAAAGAAAATACTTTAAACTATTCTAACAATTTTATTTTTTTCCAGTGAACTATATATAGTAAATTTCTACAATGGCTTTTATATATTGAACATGAAATACATAGTACACATCATAACCTATGAAAACTTATCATTATACATTTCATTCTTAAGATTATTTTTCATTTATTTCATGTCAACTACAATATTAGACTAACTTTAAATCACTTAAATAATTGGCTAACTTTAATCAACACAGTAAGTCACAGTGGAAAAAGTACTAAATTTGAAGTTGGGCATATCTAGATTGGTAACATAACAATGGAAAAATTACTCAATCTCAGTTTCCTAATCTGTTTACTTTTTTTTTTTTTTTGGTACATGCTCCTAGCGGTAATCGAACCGGGGACTCTGGTCTGCAGGCCAATGCTCCAACCACTGAGCCAAACTGGCCAGGGCTCAGTTTCCTAATCTGTAAAATGGTGGTTGATATCTTTCGCATAGGTTACTATAAGGACTAAATGGAGAAAGATATAAAAATGACTACCTAGAGCCTGTTATATACTACTATAGTTGATAGTTCTCTTAACCTTGCACCTTAACCTTTTAAAAAGGGTATGATTGATCTGCCTAGCCGGTGATATTATGATATTAAAATCAAGGGTATAAGAACTCTAGAAATTATTGTCTTCAATCTAATAATTCAAAATTTGAATTTATAAAATTACCTGATGTCCTATTAATTCTTGTTTTTCAAGCACCTATGTACCCAGCAAAAGACAAGAGAGTAGAGGAGAATTTAAAAATGGTGGCATAAAACGGCTGGTGTGACTCAGTGATTGAGCTACGACCCATGCACCAAGAGGTCGCCGGTTCAATTCCTATTCAGGGCACATCCCAGTTGTGGGCAAAATTCCCATTGGTGCATGCAGGAGGCGGCCAATCGATGTTGTCTCCCATTGATGTTTCCATCTCTCTCCCTCTCCCTCTCTCTAAAATCAATAAAGAAAAACAAAAGTGACATAGCCCTGACTGGTTTGACTCAGCAGTTAGAGCATAAGCCCATGGACCGAAGGGTTGTGGGTTTGATTCCCAGTCAAGGGAACATGCCTGGGTTACAGGTTTGATCTTCAGCCCAGGTCAGGGTTGGTGGAAGGGAACCAATAAATATCTCTCTCTCACATGGATTTTTTTTCTCTCTCTTCCCCTCTCTCCCTTCCATTCTATCTAAAAATCAATGAAAAAATATCCTCAGGTGAGGATTAACAACAACAAAAATAACAATGACATAGTTCTTGCCCTCAAAAAGCATACGATTGATTACAAAGCCATGCTGGAAGCACACAAAAACCATAAAATATCCTTCAATGTAACAGAAATTATATAGTTATATACATACTGCGTAATTTGTTAAATCCCTCCTTACTTTCCTTTCTACCCTCATTCAGGCCCTAATCACCTAATAATTACTGTTTAAATCAGCACTGTCCAATACAAATTTACAACATATATTATATGTATTGTCCAATACAATATACAACTATTTACAACATATGTAAATTTAAAAATTTACATGGGTAAATTAATTTTAATAATATACTTTATTTAATCAATATATCAAAAATATTTCAAAATAGAACCAATGCTAAAAAAATGTGATTTTTTTTTATAAGATTTCAAAATTCAGTGTATATTTTACACTTACAGCACATCTCAATTCAAAGTGGCTCCATGTTAAGTGTTTCATAGCCACAAAATACTAGTGGCTACCATACTCAACAACTCAGCTCTAGACTATTTAAATAGGTAATTCTAAAAAAATTAAATCCATATATTTAATTAGTGTTTTAAAAGGTACATTCATGCCCTGGCCGATTTGGCTCAGCAGTTAGAGTGTCAGCCTATGGTCCAGAGTGACCCGAGTTTGGTTCCCCCTAAGGGCACGTACCTTGGTTGCAGTTCGTCCCCAGCCCCGGTTGGGTTGTGTGGGTGGCAACCACTCGATGTGTCCCTTTCACATCGATGTTTCTCTTGATGTCCCTCTCTCTTTCTCTCCTTCCCACTCTATCTGAACAAAAAATGGAAAAAAGTCCTCGAGTGACGATAAAAAAATAATAAATAAATAAAAGGTACATTCATTAGCCCTGGCCAGTTTGGCTCAGCGATTAGAGCATCAGCCCATGGACCAGAGAGTCCTGGGTTCGGTTCCTGCTAAGGGCATGTACCTCAGTTGCAGATTGTCCCGGGCCCTGGTTGGGATTGTGTGGGTGGCAACCACTCGATGTGTCTCTCTCACATCGATGTTTCGCTCTCTTTCTTCCTCCCTTTCTCCCTCCTGCTCTATCTCGAGATAAATGCAAAAATGTCTTCAGGTGAGGATTAAAAAAAAAGGTACATTCATCAATAATAACAAAACATTCAAATAAGATATCTTCACCTATCAAAGTGACAATGTGTTTTTTTATTAAAGTGATAACACTCAAAGCAGATGAGATGACTGGGATTCACTGACTTAACAAATATGCACTGCTGAGTATTAGAAAAGGGTTAGGGGTACAGAGGTGACCATTTGTTCACATATAACTTAAATCATAGAATAAATTAAGCTATTTTCACATTTCAGATTAATATGCTACTCTTTTTGATAAAGTCCTTGAAATACTGTTATATGCCCAGAAAATGTTACTCCAAATAGCTGGAGTTAGACACATACATAAGTTACTATTTTCTAAATAACTATACACTTTTAAAAATAAACTATTTACATATCATTTAAAATCACAACTAAAGAATTCATCTGAAATGTCTCTGCATTTCATTTTCCAATTAGCTTTATTAATGCAAAAGAATGTTAAAATGAAACTCTAAACCTACTTTTGCCCATCCCTGTACATACAGAAAAAAGCATGTGAGTATGCAGCTCAATTTTCACAAAAATAAACAAGCACCTCAAAACCCCTCTGTGTTCCCTTCTACTTTTTTTGTTTTTAATTTGTTTTTTAATCCTCAAAGATGTTTTTCATTGATTCTAGAAAGAGGAAAGGAGAGAGAGAGAAACATCAATCAGTTGCCTACCACACATGCTCCAACTGGGGAGTAAAACCTCAACCCAAGTATGTGCCTAACCAGAAATTGAACTCAAGACTCCCTGGTGCACTGGACTACACTCAACCAACTAAGCCACACCTACCAGGGCTCCCTCCTAGTCTCTATGCAGCACTCCAAAGGGTAACCACGATCCTGACTTCTAACCACATAGTTATTAAAAACTATAGAATTTTAGTAATATATAAAGAATATAATAAAGAATATGATATACTATAAATCTACAGTCACAAAATTTACAGGACAAAATTATATTAGAGTCTCGGGAAATAAAACTATAATATGGTATAAACAATGATTTTTATAGACTTATAAATATATTTATTTGTAGATTTTATTTTTTAGAGATTTAGGTTCATGGAAAAATTGAACAGAAGGTACAGAGATTTCCCACATACACTTCTTGTCCTTACACATCCCCATTTTTAAAAATATTTATAATTAATATACACATTCAGAAAACAGAGTGAAAGATAATAGTTCAAATTATTAAAAGCCATTATTTTCAAGTGACAGAGGTTTCTAAGTTGCTGTAATAAGATCATATTAATTTCATAACATAGGAAAAGGGATTTTGGAATATGCCTTCAAGTTCAAATAAAGTTAAATAGTTCAATTAAAGATAAGTTGAAGGTGTGTAGTCTTTACATCAAAATCATCAATAGAGGTTCTAATCAAGATGGCAGTGCAGGTAAATGCAGTTCTCGGAACCTCTCACAACCACATCAAAATTACAACTAAATTACAGAACCATCATTAGAACGCTGAAATCTAACTGAACAGAAGTCCTATAACGAAGGATATAAATAAGAAGAAACATCAAGACTGGCAGGAGGGGCAGAGAACTGGAACAGGCTAGTCCCACACCCACATGTGGCAGTTAAAAATCAAGAGGAACATTTCAGCTGTGTAGGAACCCCAGAGTAGCAAGAGGTTTTGATCCCACATCAGAAACCCCAGCCCAGGTTTCCAGTGCTGGGAAGAGAACTCCCCATTAACTTCTATCTGTGAAAACCAATAGGGAGTGTGGCTGAATGACACCAAAGCTCCTGGAATCCCAGGTGATCCTCTTAAAGGGCCTGACCATGGAATTACTCAGACACTCGCTCTGAGTTCCAGCACCAGGCCAACAGCTCAAAAGTTGCCAGGGACATACAGGGAGGAACTAAATTGTCTGACTTCAGGGCAAGTGCTAGCTTTCTCCCAGACAAGTGCTGGCAGAGGCATTGCTCCTTTGCTGAGCCCTCACCCCATGAAGCTGGAAGGCAGGAGCCATATCTGAATTTCCATCAATCTGGCTAATACCACTGGACTGCCCTGATGATTCCGAGACTCTGCCCTACCCAACTTGCAGGAGCACACAAGCCATTCCCAGTGGCTTTTTCATACAAACGGCCTCTTTTAGCTCATACTTCTTTCCTACAATCTCTCAAATAAGCAGCATTTGACCTCTGCATACCCCATTCATTCCCTCTTACTAAGTGGCCCCAGGCTTGGCACTAGCAATGGCCAACCCCGGTTTGCAGCTTGGCCTCCTCGGGGGAATCTCTAAGCCCAGCGCAAGTAGCAGTCATCTGTTGATCAGCTCATTCTCGGTGGCACAGGGCAGGGCACAGGTGGTGGCTGACCCTGCACCTCAGGAAGCCCCAGAGACAGTGCATCCAGTGGACACCTTCAGACCACACTGGAGACATTCAATGGGTGAACTCTGTGGACACCAAAGCCCCACTGAAGCAAGTTCTGCTCCATGGGGTCGGCCCCTGCACAGCAGCTCCTCCACAGTACTCATAGTTGGTCCTTGCAGCTGATGGGCCTGGGAGGTCAATCCCTCCTAGTAAGGTGCCAATAGCAATCAAGCTCAATACAATAGCATAGTGGACCTGAAGAGCCCAGTTCGGGTGACCCG